ATTTAAACGTCTCAAGTCACACACGGAATTCACGAGGGATGGTGGCACCCTGGGGTGTCACCTGGTTCCCTAGGGTGAGGCTGGGCCTTCTACATCACGCTGCCCGAAGCCCAGCAAGCAGGACAAACGCTCACGTGTGGAGGAAGGAAGGGCTCCCAGGTGGACGCTCTGTGGCAGGAAACAACCCCCCACAGGTTCCGGTTTCGACACCTCAGTCTCTGTGGGGCTCGTGAGGTCCCCTCAGACCCTTGGTCTCTTTTTCAACAAGAGGTTTTGACCCCCTTTGTGGACTAGGCTTAATGCCTCGAGACTAGCAGGTGTGGGCCTCCTGGGACCCTCATCCGGGTGTGAGAAAGGGCCTTGGGGCTGGGTTCTGCCCTCTGCCCCTCTGTGTGGCTACCCAGGAGGGCAGGAAGGTGGCTGGACCCGCGTCAGCGCGGCTGCCCGGGTAAGTGCGCCGGCCTCCCCCATCGAGCCTCACGGCCCCGGGACGGCCTCTGAGCGCAGGCGCCGTGGCCCTGGGTTCGAGTCCAGGCTTGGCCCAGCAGCTTCCCGGTGACCTCGGGAGAGTCGCCTGGCCTCTCCGAGCCTCAGCTTCCCCATTTGGACACGGGTTCTAAGAACACAACTGAGAGGGTCTCTGTGTCTCTCAGTCTCAGCTGGACCTCGGCCGCACGGAGAGGGGACTCCCCCCCACCGCGGCCCCTCCCTGGCCTCGGGGCGGCTCTCCGGTCTCCAGGGAAGAGTCAGGGCGCTGCTGCATGGCCCGGCTCAAGGCTCGTGTCCGCAGGCCCCGCCACCTGGCCACCCCCGGGCCCCCCACGCGGCGCGCGCTCAGTGAAGGCTGCCCGGATGCAGAAGTGCAGGACTTTATTGCTCGGCCGCGCCCGCCGCCCCTCACGTCGCGCTCAGGCGGCCGCGTCCCCGGCCATCACGCCGTCGATCCAGGCCGCGTAGCTGGCCACACGCGTGTAGATGCCGGGCTTCTTGGGGTTGCCGCAGACGCGCGGGCCCGAGGTGACCACGCCCTCGGCCACGCCGCCGCACACCAGCGGGCCCCCGGAGTCGCCCTGCGTGCGCGGGTGGGGGGGGGGGTGAGGGTGGCTACAGGCCCGCCTCCCCTCCCGCTCCTTCTCCGCCCTGCAATTCCGCTCCGCGCTCCGGCCCAGGCCTGCCCGCTCGCTTGTCCACTTCCCCAGGCCCCGCCCGCCAAGCCCCGCCTCCCAGCTCCCGGCCCGGCCCCTCACAGGGGGTCGCCTTCTCTCCAGGCCTGTCGCCTCTGGGCTTCAGCCCCCTCCTCCGACCCTGCCCCACCCTGCCCTACTCCTGGCCCCGCACCCTCCTCCAGACCCCGCCTCTGCTCCCAGCCCGGCCTTGATCTTAGGCAGCCCCTCCCGGGCCTGTTGCTGCGTCACTGACCCTCCATCTCAGCCCTAAACCTGCTCAGGCCACGCCCACTCCCCCTAGCCCCCAAGCACCGCCCCTTCTGTTGTCTCCGCCCTCCCACACACCCCGCTCCTCAAGGCTCCGCCCCCTCTATTGGCCCCGCCCCTGGCGCCCCACCCACCTCTTGGCCCCGCCCCACATGCCTCGCACCTCTCTGAGTCCACCCCTTCCCCACGGGCCCCGCCCACCCTCCTCCTGGCCCCACCCTTTCTCTGGCCCCGCCCCTCCTGGATCCACACCCTCCTGGATCCGCCCCTCCTCGTGCCCCCTTCTCCAGGCCCTGCTCCCACGTGCCCCTCCCCTTCGCCTGGCCCCTCCCTGCCCCTCCTGGCCCCACCACACGTGCCCCTTCTAGCTCCGCCCCTCTCCTGGCCCCGCCCCTCCTCCTGGCTCCACCTCTCCTGGCTCAACCCCTTCTCATGGCCCCGCCCCTCCCCGGCCCCGCCCCGCCCTCCTTGCTCAAGCCCGCCTCATGGCCCCGCCCTCCCCTGACCCCACCCTTCCTCCTGGCCCCGGCCCTCCTGGCTCCACCCCTTCCCTGGCCCGCCCCGCCCCGCCCCTGGTCCCGCCCCTCCCAACTCCGCCCCTCCCTGGCCACGCCCCTCCTGGCTCCGCCCCTCCTCCTGACCCCGCCCCTCCTGGCTCAAGCCCGCCTCGTGGCCCCGCCCCTCCTCATGGCCCCGCCCCTCCCTGGCCCCGCCCCGGCACCTTGCAGCTGTCCTGGCGGCGGGTGCTCTGCGCGCACATCATGCGCTCGGTGATGGTGCCGTCGTGGTAGATGCGCAGGTTGCAGGTAGCGCGATCGAGCACCGGCAGCTGCAGGTACTGCAGGCGGTCGGGCCGGCGGCCCGCGTGAGTGACCACGCCCCAGCCGGCCACGTCGCAGAGTGTGCCGGCCGCCACGTCGCGGTCCTGGCGCTGCCAGGGCAGGAGCTGCACGGCGGGGCCCAGCGTGGCCTTCTCAGACAGCTGTGGGGGGGACGGTGTCAGGGCCCGGGGTCAGCCGGGGGGACACGAAGCAGGAGGGACCGCGCCACGCCTGGGGGTCCCCAGTGCAGCAGGAGGGGCTGTGGCTAGACGGGGGGACGGGTGGGGGCAGGGACCGGGGAAGGGGAGGAGGCGGGGCGAGGTCCCGGGGGCAGCAGGAGGCACCGCGGCCGGACCGGGCGCACCTGCAGCAGGAGGAGGTCGTGGTCGATGGTCTCGGGCCGGCTCTCCGGGTGGGGCACCGCGCGTATCACGTCGTACAGGCGCTTGGACGCCTCGTTCCTCGACAGGGAGTGCGCGCCCAGAAGCACCTGCACCTTCCCGCCGGCCCTGGGGGCGGGAGCGGGGGGTCCACGCAGGTCAGAGCCCACCCCCAGCTCCCCGCGCCCCGCGCCCCGCGCCCCGCGCCGCGCCCGCACTCACGCGTCCTCCAGGCAGTGCGCCGCGCTCAGCACCCACTGCGCCGCCACCAGGAAGCCGCCGCACACGTGCTTGCCGCCCACCTGCACCGACGCCATGTAGGGCCGCTTGTGCGCCTCCGCGTCGCGGCCACCCAGGATCCGCCCACGGGGCTGCGCCGCTGGGGGCGGCAGCGGGGCGAGGGCTTCAGGGCGGCGGCAGCCCAGCCCTCGGACGCCCCCTGCAGCCCCCAGGCCGCCCCAGCCCCTCACACCTGGAATTCCATCCTTGGGATCCTCTCCCCCCCACCTCCCCAGAGCCTGAAATCGGGAGGCAGAGGAGGAATGCCCGAGGGACAGACAATAGGGAGTAGTGGGGTCTGGGGCAATTCTCACCCTACACTCTGACCTGAGGACTTCGAGTTAAACAGAGAAAAGTGGGCTGAGGAAACCGACCCTCCTCTCCCGCCAGCCTTTCCCGCCGGCCCCCCAGCTTCCCACCCAGAACCTCGGACCCTCCCGGTGCACAGAGTGCAGAAAGCTCCGATTTCAGAGTTTTGAGAATTCCTTAATCTCCAGAGCCTTCCATTCTCGCGGACCCTGTCCCCTCTTTCTGCCACCGAGTGGGGCTGGGGTCAGTCCTGCTGATGGAGGGGCCCCTAGCTGACTGCCCTGCAGGCCGGTGGCCCCCGGCTGTCCCTGTGGGCCCAGGTCCACTCACCACATACGGCGGCCCCCAGGAGGATCAGAGCCGCCAGGTGCACCACGCGGTCCGCCATCATGCAGCTGCAGCCTCGACACTGGCCCCACGGGGCCGGGGGCCCTTTTATGAGGGCGGAGGGGGCAGGAGGGCGGCTCCCATAAGCCCTCTGGGTGGGCAGCGGCCCAGCTGGGGAAAGGGGAGCCGCCTTCCCGCCTCCCCCCACTGCGGCTTCTTTCCTGGGGGACTTTGCACCCAGAGTCGGCAACCCCTGGGGTGCCTCCCGCCTCTGCACCCCGGCCCGGAGCTGGCCCCAGTGCATTGTGGGGAGCAGACCCCCGGGAACGGCAGGAGGCAGAGCAGAGGGTGGATCCCCCAGCCCCCAGCCCAGTCTCCCCAGAGTGCCCCCCCAGGTTTCGCAACAACAGCTGGAGGCCAGTTTGTAAACAAGCATTTCCTGGTTCTTCTCCTCCTCCCTTCTTTCCCTTCCTCCTCCAACTTGGAGAGGAGGTTGGGTGGGGGTGGAAGGAAGGATGCCTGACACCGTTGTCCCCATTGCTGTGGCTCTGGGGCCTGACAGCCCAACAAGAACAGTATCGGAAAAGTGGCATGTAGGGGGCAGCTGGAAAGACGATTGGACACAAGTGATGGGAAAACCAAGTCGAACTGGGTGTAGGCCTCAATGAAAAAATTTAAATGGGAAGTTCAGGGTCTAGCTTCAGGTGTGGCTCAATCCAGGCACCTGAACAGTGTCAGGTCTGTGCCTCTGGTTTCTCCTGGATGGCTTTTCTCCTCACCAGGCTCCCCTTTTGTGGCCCCAGGGGCCCCACACTCAGCCTAGTGGCTCAGTGGGCCCTCCTCATTCCCCATCACTCCAGCCAGTGTCTTGAGGCGGCCGCAAATTGGCTGAGTTTGAATGGCACCCCCCTGGGAGACCAATCACTGGGGAAAGGGGGTGGTGGGTTCTGATGACGGGACCCTGGGTCACGTGGCCGTCTGTAGGGTGCAGATGGTGGGTCAACACTCAGGAGACAACGGAGGCAGGTGCTGGACCAGCAGGGTGGGCTGGACCTCGGCCGTCCCCAGTGGGAACAGCGTGCCACATTTTCCCCTCGGTTTCTTTTCTCTTCCTGGAGGACAATTTCATACGTGCAGAGAAGAATAGAAAATAACACCACAAATGCGATCAATTAGACCCTAAGACGTCTCCTCGTTAAAATCAGACACTCTGAACAAACACCATTGGGATGTGGAGCCCGGATTTCGCAAGAGTGGACAATTATGTAATTGCGACAAAATTTGGAGGCGACCCAGCGAGATGGGCCGTTTTGGTAAACAACCCTGATGGACCCCGGATGCCGCGTTGACGTGGAGAGACCGCCGGGCGCCGTGTTGGGCGGGGGGTGGGATGGGGAGGGCATCATGGGGCAGTGGGGGGAGCGGGATGGGGGCAGGAATGGAGGCAAAGGCCCTGGGGTCGCCCAGGCCATGAGCTCCGGGGGGTCAGGGCAGGGACGGGAGGCGAGTCACCCCAAACTCCTGCTGCATGTGGGGGCGTCATCTGAAGTTACTTCTTTCGTTTTTTCGTTTGCGTTGGTGGCTGTTTCCTCTGCCACCATCAGCCTGCGAGCAACACGATGGCGGAGGCCACGTGTCATTGTCCCCGCCTGTGGACCCGGCCCAGAAAGGCAGAAGCGGGGCGCAGGCCTCCCCCAGGGCTGGTTCCATCTGGGCCCGGGTTCCCTCAGGAACAGGCGCTCTGTCCTCCCCACGTGTCAGAGCAAATGGCCAGGGAGGCGGGGGACAGGCGCCATCACCCAATGCAGCCAAGGCCTCCGGGACCCAACCCCTGGCTGGGCTCTTCCTGGACAGCTGGGAAACCGAGGCTGAGAGACAGCAAGCAAGTTGCCCAAAGTCACAGAGCTGGGCCTCAAACCCGGGCCTGGGCTCAGCTCCCATCGCTCTGGGCCTCCACAGCCTCATGCGTGGGGTGGGGTTCGGAGACGACACCCCTCAAGGGCTGCAGTGGGGCCAGAGGACAGGGCTCCCGCCAAGGCTCAGAATGACTCTCGTGCCAGGTAAGTACCCGAGGCACACCCGCCATCGCCCTGGGTCACCCCGACCCAGTGGAAGTGGGTTTTACGGGAAGGAAACCAGAAACAGCAAGTGGCCTCCTTTTGAGGAGGAGGGTGGGGAAGGGGCTTCTCGTCCCCGGGCCCTGACCTTGCCGCCACTTGGTGGCAGCGTACTCGTGAGGTGGCCCCCACCCCTTTCCACACCCGATTGCACAACCGACACGCAGCCGGACGCGAATCCAGGAGACAGGGAGGGTCTTTATTGTGCTGGAGGCCGCGGGACGGGACGTGGGAAGGGCCCGGCGGGGGGCAAGCGGGGTGGGGTGACCGGGGTGGGGGCGGGCGGGGAGCGGGGCAGCCCGTCCTAGCTGGCCGCGCTCGCAGGGTCCCCGTGGCGGCGGAGGATGGAGTTGATCCAGTCGATGAACTGTGCGACGGGGGCGAAGGCGTCCGGGAAGAAGCCCGAGCCGCAGCCTCCGCGGATGAAGGAGTCGATGCCCTGCACGAGCCCGTTGCAGACCAGCGGCCCGCCGGAGTCTCCCTGCGGAGCCGCACGACGTCGGGGGGCTGGGCTTCAGGGGGCCCCCTTGGAGTTGGGGCGTCCCTCCCCGGGTCGTGCTGCAGCCGGGCAGGGTCAGGGAGCGGGGGGGCCCAGGGTGGGGGCGTGGTGGGGACAGGGAATTGGGGGTGTGGTGTGGAGCAGGGGGCGTGGCCCTGGGCGAAGGGCGGGGCCTGGGATGGGGCGGAGCCTTTTGGGGGCGTGGCCTGGGGCGAGGGGCGGGGCCTGGAATGGGGCGGAGCCGGTTAGGGGGCGTGGTTGGCATGTGGGCGGGGATTGGGGCATGGCCCAGCGCAGGGGGTGGGCCTTGGGTAGGGACGTGGCCCAGGGGCGTCGCGACCCGTGTTGGGGGGCGGGGCCTGGGGCGAGGGGCGGGGCCTGGATGGGGCGGGGCGGGGATTGGGGGCGGGGCCTGGGATGGGGGCGGGGCCGGGGCGGGGGCCGGGGAGGCGGGGTGCAGGGCGCGCACGGTGGGGGGCACTCACGAAGCAGATGCCTGCCCGGCGGCGCTGCACCAGCGTGCACACGTTGGAGCGCCGGCACAGCGACGTCACCACCGTCACGTTGAGCTCCTGCAGGACGCTGGGCAACGGCCGGTTGGTGCCCAGCCGACCCCAGCCCATGGCCAGGCACGGCGTCCCGCTGGGCACGCCCCTGCCCTGGGCCGGCAGCCGGGCCACCTGCACGTTCTCGTTGATCCTGGCCGACCCGTCGAGCTGGGACAGGGCACCAGAGTGTCACCTGGGGCAGCAGGCGACGACTCCCCCCACCGCGGGCCTCAGTTTCCCCATCTGCAAGCGGGAGCAGCCGCAGTGGCCCGAGGCGTCCCTGGACGTGACAGTGGGTGCTCAATAAGACAAACTGTGGGCAACCCTGAGGCCTAGAAAGCTCCCATTCTAGAACATTCCCAGAGAATCGTCATAGCTTCGAGAGAGGCAGGAAGGGAGGGTTTCGGCCCCAAGTCTCCCGCCTGCCCGAATGTGGGCGTCTTCGACGGCGCACGAATGCAAACGGGTTTGTTGATCGACTGCTGCTCGGAGCTTCCCTGCCTCGTCCTGCTCCTTCTCTCCACGGCCCGGCCGGCTGGGGCTCGTCTCCCCGTGTGGCAGAGGGGAGACTGAGGCACAGACAGACCCACCCTGCCAGGTCACCTGGAGAAGCACGATGTCGTTCCGCAGGTTCACGGGGTCGAAGCCGTTTTCGAAGACGCCGCGGACGCCCAAAGTCTGCCGTGTGGGCTCCTGCCGCCCCAGGTTGTGCGCCCCCAGCACCACCCTCACCGACTGGAAGTTGCTGCCGGCAAGGGGGGGACGGGGGTGATTGGGGGCGGTCCCCCCCCATCCCCAACAGCCAGACAGAAGGGGAAACTGAGGGCTGGGAGGCAGGGTGCGGGACTCACCGGCCGTTCACGCAGTGCGCAGCCGACATGACGAAGTTGCGGGCAATCAGGGTGGCCCCACAGAAGTGGCCCCCTCGCCGCTGCAGGGACGCCATGAAGGGCCACGCGTGGGGCCGGGCTGGCCGGCCGCCCACGATCTCCGAGGCCAGCGCGGGGCCTGGGGACACACAGGGATCAAGGCCAGTCAGCCCCCCAACCCCCACCAGAACCCCTCGGGGTCACAGCTGTTTGTGCTCAGATGAGGAAACTGAGGCACAGCGAGGAGGAGGGAGCTACACGGTCCCCCAGCCAGGGCGTTGACAGATCTGGATTATCGTGGCTTCAGAGACCCCATGGTGTGCTCAGCGGCCCCCAGGATCGAACCCCAGCTCTGGGTTCCCACCACTCAGAACCTCAGTCTCTTCTTCTGGAAACAGGTGTCCTCGTCTCGGCCATCACCTCCCCACGGGGACGAGGGTCCACTCGGGTTGGGGGCACAGCGGAGAGGCAGGAAGGACAGACGGACAGACACGCGGCCCCACTCACCACCCAGCAGTGCGGCCAGCAGGACGGGGACGAGGGCAGGGCTGCAGGGTTGGCGGCCGCGGGTCATGGTCGGCGTGCTCGGTGTCCACCCCGCGCCCGCCGGCCCCTCTTATTGCCCCGCGCCCAGGCCGTTGCTGTTGCCCCATTTCCTCTCCCGCGGGGACGTGGGGGACGAGGAGCGCGGCAGGAAGCGTGGGGAGGTGGGGCCGCGAGGCTGGTTCTGCCCCTGGACGTTGGGTGTCTGTCCGTCTGTCCCAGACGTTATGTGTGTGCACGTGTCCGCAGGGTGGGCCGTCGCGCCCCTGACGGGCAGAGTCCGCCGGGTGCCCATAGTTTTGCTAAATCCCGCCACCCTGGGCCCAGAGGACGTCGGCTGGCCCCCCGCGTGCCTCAGTTTACCCAGGGCACAGTAATAACCACAACAGTGGCGCACCCAGCACCATCCTCATGTTCCCCAGGGGCAACGACAGGGGCTGCGGGGCCTCTGCTGAGATGGGGAAACTGAGGCACGGCAGGACCCATGAGTCAGTGGTGCCGTGGGAGGGCCGGGGTTCAAGCCCAGGCCCCGAAACCACAGCTGGACGGGCTCCTCCCTGAGCCCCAGGTCCCCCTCTCAGGGCTCGGCCTTCCGGCCTCCCTGTGGCTGCTGCTCATGACGGCGAACTCACTCCCCGCCCGCGGCCCGGTCACCAGCGGAGGTTCTGGGAAAAGACCCCCACCCCCCGCCAGCCTCACTGGACCCTTCCCGCTCCGCCTGACGCACGCCTGGGGCGGGACATGCTGGAGAAAGGACGCGCCTGGCCTGGAGGCTGGACCATGTGTGGCACTGGGAACGGGACGGGGACCCCGGCCACCCTCCACCCCGCAGCCCCGCCCCCCGCCTCCCCCGACACTCCAGTGGCAACGGCTGGAGCCAAGGCTGTCGCAAGAGGCAACGTCCCCCGGCTCCGAGCAGGTCCGGGGGGCCCAACGGCTCCCTGTGCGGGAACAGGCGGGTGGGGCCAGAGTCCCATGGGTCCCGGGGCCCCTCCGTGTGTGGCCACGGGCATGCGAACCCCACTTCTTCCCAGTGAGGATGGCCGGGCGCACAGCAGGCGCCCGGTGTCTGCTGCTCATCCCTCCCCTGGTCAGACGCAAGGCAACCGGGCCTCCTGGTGGGGTCCCTGCCCATCACATTACAGTTATCACCGAGCACATAGTGAGCGCCTGTTGCATACGCAGCCCTGTCTCGGGCCCCAGGGGTTGTTGGGAGAATGGGGGAGGCCCTGTCTTTGGGGGATGCGGCTCAGCCAGGGAGACCAGATTTAAGCAAAGCTGCGTTTATGGAGCACCGCCTGTATACCACACTCCTATGTGTCAACTCCGGGTTCATATCCTGGAGTGGCCACTCGCCCCCTGCCTCCCTTGGGGCCCCTGACTTAACCTCTCTGTGCCTCAGTTTTCCCGTCTGTAAGTGGACATTGTGACAACCGGCTCTGTCTCTCAGGATTGTCTCGAGGATTCAGGAATGGGGGCTGCGAGTCCTCGGACGAGGGCGCGTTGACGGACGGGGGGGCGTTGCCCGGGGAGACCTGGGGACGGGCTGGGGGACCCCAAACTGTTGGGAGTGACCCCGCCAAGCTGCGTGGCCCCCGCGACAGAACCCCACCCCCCCGGGGACCGTTACTTCCTGAGCCCCGAGAAGCGTCCTGAACACCCTGTTGGTTCTTCCCGGGACCCCGTCCTCGGCTCCCCGCTGGGGCTGATCTCCAGGGCCCAGGCCTTTCCTCTGACCATCGTTCCCACGCGTGACCCCACAGGACGCGCCCAGGGCTGGGTTCTGGGTCTTTCCGTTCCCATCGCTGGGCTCCCTCGACGTTCCCTCCGGCAAAGCCCTTTGACCCCCAAGGCTGGGCACCAAAATGTCCCTCTGGGCTTTTCACAGAAGCCACTTCCCGGCCGTGGGAAACGCAGGGGGTTCCCAGCAGCGCCCAACATTCCCCGGGGCTGGTCAGCCGAGGCCGGAAAGAGCCGACGAGCGGGCAGGCCAGGAGTTCTCGCGTTTGCATGGGTTCGTACGCTGCCACCAGGTGGCGGCAGAGTAGATCAATAAGGAAAGAGCTGCCTGCGACCCCGGTGTGCCCCGTGGGCGGGGTGGCGCCTCTCTCTCAGCCTCGACTGCCTCATCCCTGGGGCCACTCGCCCTCTCACGGCTGACCGGTGACCTCTGCCTCTTCCCGGGCTCACCTGGAGACCCACCCCAGTTCCTTTCCGTGGCCCTTTGGGCTCCGGCTCACCACCTCCCCGACTTGCCCTCCTCCCCCATTCCCCTTGCCGCACTCCATCCCAGCCACACAGCAAGCCCCCGAGCTTGTCCTGACGCAGGGCCTTTGCACAGCCCTGCTCTGCCGGGGGCCCTTCTCCTTATGTTCCCGTTCACGCATTGCCACCGTCTCTGGGAAGCCTCCCCAATGGCCCTTCTGCCTGCCCATGATGGGATCAGGAGCCCCAGGGGCCCTGGACACTCCACGTCACGACAGCCTGGTCCTCAAGCCGCCCAGAAACCCAGAGCCAGCACGACGCCCCCAGCCCTGAGGACAGGGTGCGGCTCCATGGGCAGTTCTGGGAAATCTGAGATGACTCCACTTTCCAGACGAGGAAACTGAGGCACAGAGATGGGCAGCAACCTGCCCAGAGTCACACTGGACGGGCTGGATTAGAACCCACATCTGTGGGCATCCGAGAGGCGGGATGCACTGTGTCCTGGGCCCCCCTCACCTCCAGGACTCCAATCCCCATCCCGGGTCTGGGGCTCGGGCACCCGGATGCTGGGGACCCTCGGCCGCGGTCCCCCCACACCCCTGGGAAGGACAAAGCAGACGCAGAGAGGGAGTTTCGACTTTTATTGATGTCGCCGGGCGGCTCCCACGAGCCCCGTGCGGGGTGGGGAGCGGCCGGAGGGGGGGGTGTCTGGAGGTTCAGGTTTCCGAGACCTCGGCCTCCATCTGATGCCTCCGTTGGGGCCCCGCGCCCTCCGCGCCCGCCAGCACGGAGCGGATCCAGTCCACGTAGAGGGAGACGCGGGCGAAGAAGTCGGGGTGGTGGGTGGTGGCGCACGCGCGGATCACAAACGAGTCCACGCCCTGGAGGACGCCGTTGCAGATCAAGGGGCCGCCCGAGTCTCCCTGGGAAGAGTGGGGACAGGCCTGTCCGTCACGCAGGCCGGGCGGACGTGGCCACGTCGGGGAATCGGGCCCGGGGACAGTGGCCTCCCACCATTTAGGGTGAAATGTCTCTGGCACCAAATTTTCTTTAAGACACGTGGACGGGAGGGGAGCGTGCATCTATGGGCCTCCTGCTGTATACCTGGACCCCTGACTCTGGTCCAGATTCCCCAGGGTTCCTGAGACAGACTCCTGAGGCCGCCGCATACGACGGGAGCGCCCGTGGGCGCTGAGGCCGTTCCCCACACCTGAGCCCTCACAGAGGGTGAGCCCACCGTCCAGATGGAGAGACCAAAGCACGGCCTGCTGCTGCCCAGCGGGAGGAGATGGGATTCGAGCCCCCGCTGCCCGCCCGCCTCCCGTCCCCTCGGCTCTGGGGCGGCCCCCCAGCCGTCCCCTCACGGAGCGGGAAACACGTACGAAGCAGATGCCGGCTCTGCGGCGGGGAACGAAGGTGCACAGGTTGTGCGGTCGGCACAGGAAAGTGACCACGGTCACGTTGAGCTCCTGCAGGACCCGGGGCAGCGGCTCCCGCGTGCCCAGGCGGCCCCAACCCATGGCCAGGCAGCGCGTGTCTTGGGGCACCACCTGGTTCTGTTCGGGGAGCTGGGCCACCGCGACCTGGTCGTTGAGGGTGGCCGGGCGGTCCAGCTGCGGCAGAGCGCGGGCGGGCGGGCATTGAGACCCCATCCCCGGGCCCCACCGCTGTCCCCTCCCGAGTCAACCCCGGAGCGCCACCTCCGGGCCTTTGCACTGCTGTTCCCTCCACCCAGCCCCATCTCACTAAACCCTCGGCATCACCTCCCCCAGGGAGCCTGCCCTGATTGACCCTCCCAACCTCACCAGGGCTCGGTTCTTGGGCTGAGCCCCGGGGACCCCACCTTTGCCCTCGGGGAGCTGCCCTTTTGGGGTGGGAGGGGCTGGGAGGAAGAGGATGACAGTGCGGCCCAGGGAGACCTCGACAGTGACCGTGATTCGGGGCAGGAGCGGGGAGGCCTCCCGACGGGGAGGTCCAGGTGAGGGTGTCGGGCGGGGTCATCACCAGGACGAAGGCCGGGGGGCGGGGGGGCGGTTTGTGGGGTGACGGTCTGAACGGCTGTCTCCCCACCGGGCTTTGTCCCAGCGCCTACTGGGACATAGCATACAGCAGGCACTCAATAAGTGCTCGCCGAGGGATGAAGGAGGGGATCCGCCCACCTGCAGGAGGAGGACGTCGTTGAGATTCTCCTCCGGGTCGTAGTTGTTCTCGAACAGGCGGGCGACACTGAACCTCTGCTGCGTGGGCTCCGACGCCTGCAGGTCATGCACCCCGAGCACCACGCTCACCAGGAGGGGGTTCCTGAGGGGGGTCGGGGTGCTGACCACCTGGCCGCCCAGCCCCCCGCCTGGCCCCCCCCCCCGCCCGGCCCGCCCGGGCGCCCCGACACTCACATGTCCCGCAGGCAGTGGGCGGCGGTCAGCACGAAGCGGGGGTGGATCAAGGTGCCCCCGCAGAAGTGGCCGCCGGGAAACCCGCGCCGCTGCAGCGACACCATGTAGGGCCGCGAGTGGGGCTCGGCTGCCCGCCCGCCCACGATCTCCGCGGCCCGGGCCGCACCTGGGGACACGGGGCGTCAGCGACCACCGGGGCCTGTCCCCACCGGGCCCCCCACAGGGGGAGGGAGGGCAGCGCCACCGGGCGACCCCACCTGGGCGGGGGCCTCATGGAGCCTCCGTCACCCCATCCGCAGACGGGCGCGGGGTCGGGCCTGGGGACGGCGGGCGCTGGGGTCGGGAGGGGCTGGCGGTCACTAGCGCTGTCTCTGACGGCGCCCAGCCCCGAGGGTCGGGGGGGGGCGGGTTAAGAAGCAACAGGGAAATCCCGACGACGCGACCCATTTTGCAGAGAGACAAACCGAGGCATCGAAAACCCTCAGGAGGCTGAGGGTCCGAGGGGGTCTCACTCCTGTTCTTCCCCCGACATCAGTCATCCATTCGTTCACGTGCGCTCATTGAGCGCTTGCTGTATGCCAGGCGCCGACCAGGAAGTCGCTGGTTCTATTTAACCGCCCCCGTACCCCACGAGGGACGGGCGGGGTTTTGCCCATTTTACAGATGGGGAAACTGAGTCAACTGACCCAGGGCCCCCCTTTCTCTCGTTGTCCCCCCGCTTGAGGCATTCGTCCTCAGCAGGAACTGGAGTCCTGCCCCGGGCCTGCCTCAGTCTCCCCATCTGGGATGTGAAGGTGTGGATGTCCCCAGAGCCACACGGACCCAGACAGACAGACAGACGGACGGACGGACGGACGGACACGCAGCCCCACTCACCGCCCAGCAGTGCGGCCAGCAGGATGGGGGCGAGGGCAGGGCCGGAGGGGCGGCGGCTGTGGGTCATGGTCGGCGGCTCCGGGGTCCTGCCTGCCGGCCGCTCTTATAGCCCCGGGCGGGGAGGCCGTTGGGGTTGCCCCACTTCCTCCTTCCAGCCTCGGGGTCCCCGCTCGCCCAGGAGGTGTGGGCAGTGGCTCCCGCCCACCCCGCGCCCTGGGTCCCAGCAAAGGGGGACAGGGCCAGCGCGTCCAGGGCTGGGGGACAGGAGGGGCAAGGCGGGGGGGCCACAGGCCGCGTCCCCTCCTGAGAGCCCCCCAGAAACATCCTTCTGCCCCACTTCTGCCTCAGGCTTCCCTGTGCCCACCTGGGCCGTCCTGCCCTGGGGGACGTTTGGGGACATCTGTGGGTGTCACACTGGGGGTCCTCCTGACATCGAGTGGGTGGGGCCATGGATGCTGCTCGACCCCCCACAGCGGCCAGGACAGACCCCCAGAGAGTGACCCACCCGATGTTGCCAGGTGCAGAGATGTTTATTTTTTACCTATTTATTTGAACTCACTCATTATTGTGAGAAGTTTAAACCTACAGAAACTCGGAGACAAAAAAGAAATGCTTTTTTTTTTTTTTTTTGAGGAAGAGTAGCCCTGAGCTAACATCTGCTGCCAATCCTCCTCTTTTTGCTGAGGAAGACTGGCCCTGAGCTCACATCCGTGCCCATCTTCCTCTACTTTATATGTGGGACGCCAACCACAGCATGGCTTGATGAGCGGTGCCATGTCCGCACCCGGGATCCGAACCGGCGAACCCCGGGCCGCCGAGAAGTGGAACGTGTGCACTTAACGCCTCAGGACGACCCCGTCATCGTCCCCACTGTCACGGCCACGACTCCCGACCCCCTTCTCTGCTCATCCTCTTGGCGGCTGGCCCGGGATGGGGCACCCCTTTGTCATCCCGGCTCTTGTCTGGACCGCTGTTGCCCTCCTGGCTCCAGTGCCTGCTGCCCGGGTTTGGATTCTGCTTTGTGACTCTGGGCGGGACACACCACCTCCCTGAGCCTCAGTTTCCCCGTCTGTTATGGGCACGATGAGAACAGCCCGCCTCCCGGGCGTTAATGCACGTAAACAAACGAGAGCGAACAGACCGTCCACAGGTGACGGATCCACACACGTGTCCACCCACACGCTGGAGCACGACGCAGCCATGAAGAGGAGCGAGGCCCTGACACAGCCACATGTGGACGGACCTGAACACACGACGCTCAGGGAGAGAAGCAGACACAGAAGGACACACGGCGTGTGACCCCATGGACGTGAAACGACCAGGACAGGCAGATCCACAGACAGAGAGCGGGCTCGTGGGGGCCAGGGGCTGGGGAGGGGGTGGGGGTGACTGATGGGGACGGAATGTTCTGGAATTACGTGGAAGGGATGGTTGCACTGAAGACCCTGAGCTGCTAGATGCCTGAGCTGCATTTCAGTGAAGCTTTAACCGAAAAGGAAAAGGAAAAAGAAACACACACCACAAACCCCGCTGGATAACTGGCCCGTCCCGGCAGGACTCGCGCCCCAGGAGCCTCCCTGGAGGGTCAGGGGTCAGTCACCAGTCGGGGGTGGGGGGCGGCCTGGGGTCCCCATCTCCCAGCGCTCTGCTCCCAGTGCGCATTGCCCCGCGGCCGGGGTCGGGGTTGGGGGTCGAGTGCGGGCGGGGGCTGGGGGGCGGCCCTGGGGGCTGCGACCGCGAGGAACCCTCTGGGGCCACGGGGGTCGGGCTGGGGCCGAGGGGAAGTGGGGCTGGAAGCTGTGGCCTCGGCCCCTTCCCGCTCCAACTGTGGGTGGTGCAACCGGCAACGGCCGTGGGGGCCAAGGAGGACCCGCCCGGCATCGTGGGAAGAGCGGGGGGCCCAGCCTGGAGCGTGTCCATCTCTATGTCTCTGCGTCTCTGTCTCTGTGTCTCTGTGTCTGTCTCTCTGTGTCTCTGTGTCTCTGTCTCTGTCTCTTTTTCCTCGCCTCAAAAAAGAAAAAGACCCCTTTTGTGTCAGCGTCGGGGGCTCTGAGCTGGGGAAACCATGTGCTCTGGGACCTCACTCCCTGGGCCTCAGTTTCCCCGTCTGAACGATGAGAGACTGGACCCCTCGAAGTTCCAAGTGGGCTCTGGGTGGTCAGGGTTCCTGAGCCTCCCACCCCCCTCTCGGGGCCTCAGTCTCCCCCGTTGGTCTGGGCGGCACCGGGGGCCCTGGGCTCAGGACGGAGCAGCCAGAGCCGGGCGACCCCCCTTCCACGGGTCGGGGTCCCTGGCGCTCACTCTCCTGGAACCTACGATTCACCTTGAATTTCACGCCGCCCTAGTGTGGTTCGTGTGCAAAGTCCCCACCGGAGAGATGGGGACGTCCCGCCTCCTCCTCCAACGAGACCGACTCACTTTCTCGGCCCCGACGCTCCACCAGCCGACGAGAACGTCCCCCACGTACACACTGTCCCCCCCTGGGGTGTCACGTCTCCACCAGCCGTGAAGACCCCTCTGGCCTTGGGGCAGCACCTGGGGCCGGGACCTTTTTCGTGGCTGTGTAATATTCCGCTGCCGGGTGACCCAGCACGAGCTCTGTGGGCCCCTCCTGGGGATGAGGGTTGGCTGCAGTCTCTGCGCCTTGAGGCCACACGCCCTCGCCTTCTGCACGATGACGGGCGGGGGGACTTCTGGAGTGGTACTGCTGGCTCAGACACCCCCAGATCCGCCCCACCCAGGGGCGACCCAGTGCCTCCGGTGCTGGCAGCCCCTGGCACCCATGGCCGACACATGGGGTCCCTGGGGGGGGGTCACTCAGGCTCCCCACATGCCAGCAGGGCCTCCGTGTGGACCTCAGGTCACATCCTCGCCCACTGGTTACCACCTGGCTGCTATTGTTTTTCTTATTGATTTTAGATGCTCTTTATATATTAGATTTATTCTAATTATATTTTACATATTTTTAAATATATGTGAAAATGTATAGAATGTAACAGTAACATATAGAAAATAATAAATATTACTTAAGTGCTTATTCTAACAAAAGCTTTATTTAGCTCCATAAACTAGAATGTAGATGATATAATTGTATTTATTATATGTCTTTATACTATTTGTATGTAATTATATTTATTGTTTAATATTAAATCTCAGCCCTTTTCTATGTGCGTCAGCCATCTGTGACTCCAGGTCCTCCCTCGTCTGTGACTGTCTTGCCCCACAGATTCCCGACCGGAACCACAGGTGTTGAGGCGCGTCTGCAACCGCACAGACGCGGGTTCAAAGCCCGCTCGTGCTGTGTGACCTCAGGGGAGTCACCTGGCCTCTCTCAGCCTCGGCGCCCTCCCGCCAGGCCGAGGTGACAACAGCGCCCGGTCTCAGCGAATTCGGTGTGAATTCAGTGAGCAGAGGCCACTGGGGTGGAGGCCACCGATGTCACCGCCTCCTGCCCCGCCCTGCCCCCCGCAAAGCAGAGTCAGGCGCCAGGAGAACGGGAATGGCTCGTTTATTAGAGTCATGGCCACACAGGCAGGGGGGTTCGGGGGTGCACAAGGGCCACAGGCCACGGGCACGGGCCTGGGAGGTCACAGGCCACCCACGGGCTCGGTGGGGGGCCCCTCGGGCCAGCGCTCGGCCGCCGTGGAGTTCAGAACAGAGTTGATCCAGTCCCGGAAGAGCGCCACGCGGGTGAAGAAGTCGGGGCCCCTGCCACAGCGCCCCAGGGAGAAGGACGCCACGCCGTGCGCCACACCGTCACAGACGAGGGGGCCGCCCCCATCACCCTGGACAGGTGGCAGCAAGTCAGGGACCCCCCACCGGCCCCGCTGCCCGCCCTGCTCCCACTCGGGACCCCTGAGCTGTCGGCTGCTCTGACCAGGTGCCCCCCAGCCTCCCCCCCACCCACCCCGTGATCACGGTGTCCTGGGCATGCCCCTCCCGTGATCCATGTCTGACTCCCCCCCCCACCCCGGGGTCTGGGAGCTCCACAAGGGCGGGCCCTGCTCCGTCTTGTTCCCCCTGTGCCTCCAGCCCCCAGCACAGGACGTGGCACACAGTAGGTATTTAATAAATACTGTTTCTCACGCAGTTAAATCGCTGCAAGTTTCGAAACATGCAATTCTAATTCCAGGGCCCACGTCCCGGGCTTGCTTTCTCCCACCACAGGGAAGCTCATTACCTCTCACGACCCCTCCTCCCACCATGGGGAGCCCGTGCCAGGGCCCACCCGGCCCATACCTGGCAGATGCCGCCCCGGCGGGTGAGGACGCCGGTGCACACACTGTTGGGGCGACATTGGTCCGGGGGCATCACAGTGACATTGAGGACCCTTGGGAAGCGGGAGAGACGCCCCCCGTTCCGTGTGGCCCCCCAGCCCGCCACCTGGCAGCGCGTGCCGGCCTCCACCGTGGCATTCTGCGCGGGCAGTGGGACCAGCGCCAGGCCACTGGTGAGGTTCGCCTCCCGGTCCAGCTGTGGAGGGAAACCAAGTCAGGAGAGGGAGGAAGTGGGGACCGGAGCCTCATGGGGTCCAGCCAGGACCCAGAGCGGCGGCCACATGAATTCTGGTCTGTACAGTGGTTTGGGTTCAGATGCCAGCTTGGGCGGTACCCGGCTGTGCCATCCTGGCCAAGTCGCTGTACCTCTCTGGGTCTCCCATTCCTCCACCATAGAAAAAGAAGAATCGATAATTCTCGCCAGGAAAGCGATTGGGTGGAGGAGACAAGACCCTGAAGGGAAAGGGCTTTGCCGGGAAACGCAGACGAAACTGCACAGCACCATCCCCGTCACAGCTGGGAAAACATTTAAAAAGTCATAAAACCCAGTGTCAGTGACGATGCGGACAAACGGGCAGTTTTTACTTCCGCGGGCGGGGAGGCCCAGCTACTCCGGCTGCCCCGGGAAACTCCGCAAGCAAACGCGGTGCAAGAAGTCCATCGAGATTCTATCAACAATCGCATGGATACAGCCCGGGTGCCCACGTACAGGCGGCGGGAGGGGCGGCCTGGCTGCAGGTGCGAGCTCCGCCGGCTGATGGACACGCCCAAGCCCCGCCCACAGCCGCGCCCCCGCGACGCCCCGCCGCATTCAGCCACGCCCCACCACGCCTCTAGCCAAGCCCAAGCCCCGCCCCGGCACCGCCTCTGGCCACGCCCACAGCCAAGCCCAGGCCCCGCCTCTAGCCACGCCCACAGCCCTCCGCCCCGGCACCGCCTCTGGCCACGCCCACAGCCCTCCGCCCCGGCACGGCCTCTAGCCACGCCCACAGCCAAGCCCAGGCCCCGCCTCTAGCCACGCCCACAGCCCCCCGCGCACCGCCAGCAGCAGCAGGTCATTGAGGTTCTGCTGGGGGTCGTAGCCGTTCTCGCTGATGCTCCGCACCGAGAAGGTCTGCCTGGTGCTCTCCGGCCGCCGCAGGTCGTAGGCCCCCAGCACCACGGTGCTGATCCCGGGGTTCCTGGGAGCGGGGGGAGGGGGGAGGCACCAGGCTGGGGCAGCCCCTGGGGGCTCGCGGGGAAGCCCCGGACCTTCTGCACCCGCCTTGGGCCGGGGCAGGAGGGGGCAAGCTCGCAAATAACGGGGGAGTGGCCAGCCCGGTGGCTGAGGGGAGGCCTGGGTCCCTCCGCGGCCGCATCTCCCCTGTCGAGACCCACCCCGCACCCCGGCTGCCTTCCTCTGTCTGGGGTCCCCCACCTCCCGAGCCCCCTCCCAGAGCCCCCTCCTCACCCCCGCCCCCCTCACCGGTTTCGGAAGCAGCTGGCGGCCGTGAGCACGAAGCGGGCGTGGATGAGGGCGCCCCCGCAGACGTGGCGCCCCTGGTCCTGCACGGAGGCCAGGAACGGGAGCTGCCCGCGCCGGGCCTTCCTGCCGCCCACGATGTCCGCGCGGGCCGCCGAGCCTGGGGGAGGCAGGCGCAGCTCCCTCCAGTCTCAGCCCCATCCCTGGGGGGCCCCCGGGCCGTCCCCTCCCCTGTTCCCCATGAGGACAGGTGACCCCAGGCCTCCTGCATGCCCCGTCCCGGGCTGTTGAGGGCCAGTCTGGCTGTGTGGCCTGGGCAAGTCGCTTTCTCTCTCTGAGCCTCAAGACCCCCTTAAGGTCCGCCCCACGTGGCCTCTCCCCCTGCAGCCAGCCCCCCTGCACAGACAGGGGACACGGCGGGACACTCACCCACGCCGGCAGTCGCCAGCAGGCCGGCCAGCAGGGCCAGAAATCTGAGTGCTGGCATGACCGGGAGTCTGGGGTGGCTGGGGAGGGCGGCCGCCTTTATACCGGGGGCCTGGGCCGTTGGTGGCAACCCCCCCCCACCCCACACCGCGCTGGGGTCCAGCCCCTCCGGGCGGGAAAACGGGAAGTTGCCCAAGGCCTCCACCGCCAACCGCTCCTGGGGCCTCCCTGGCCTCCTCCAACTGGCCCGCTCCGTGCCTCAGTTTCCCCCTCTGTGAAATGGGCCACACCTCCAGGTGCAGGGGAGGGTGATGTGAATTAATTGTCAGAAGGCCCAGCACACGGTAGGCACACAGCTGACACCCAACACATTAGCAGAATTGTGAACATCACTCACAAGGCCAGCTCGGGACTCGGTTTCCCCAGCCTGAGCTTTGGGGGCCCTGCCACTGACCACAGGGGTCTTCAGGGTCTTCAAAGGTTTGAGGCACCCAAGACCCGGGTGAGAGGTGCAGCCAAGGGGAGAGAAGAACAGGATTGGGGTCCAGAATACGTAAAGAACCCTCACAATTCAACAAAAAGACCAACGACCCTATTACAAATGGGCAAAGGATGGGAGCGGACGCCTCGCTGAGAAGATACACGTGCAGCCGACCAGCCGCAAAAGACGCTCAGAACTGTTAGTCATCAGGGAACCACAGAGACACCACTTCACACCCACAGACAGAATGAAAGATGCGGAGAATGACGAGTGTCCTCAGGCGCTGCTGGCGGACCACGGGCTGGCGACTCTGCCGTTGTTAATCACTGGGTCATCCCGTTTCTCAATTCTGCTCCCGGGTGTGCGCCACGGACGCAGACCGACACGCACACGTGCATGTCCACTGCGGCACGACCCACGACAGCCAGAAGGTGGACACGACCCCAGCGCTCATCGATGGACGATGGGTCCACACACGTGTCTGCCCACACGCTGGAACACGATGCAGCCGTGAAGAGGAGCGAGGCCCTGACACAGCTGCACGTGGACGGACCTGCACACACGACGCTCAGGGAGAGAAGCAGACACAGAAGGACACACGGCGTGTGATCCCATTGACGGGAAACGTCCAGAACAGGCAGATCCACAGACAGAGAGTGGGCTCGTGGGGGCCAGGGGCTGGGGAGGGGGTGGGAGTGATGCTGATGGGGACGGGGGATCTTATTGGGGTGACGGAATGTTCTGGAACCAGATAGAGGCGCTGGTCGCACAATTCTGTGAATGTGCTGAAAACGCTGAACGGCACGCTTCAGATGCTAATTTCGTGTTATGTGAACTTCACCTCAGTTTTTAAAATGGGGCTTATTTCCAGGTGAAACCGAGCAGTTGGGGCTGGTGACCCCCACACCTCGGGGACACCAGTTGGTGTCCGGAGCCCTGGGGGCTCTTCCCGGGGGGCTTTCCCTCCACAGAGTGTGTCCTGGGAGGTTTTGGGGTGCAGAAATCAGGCTGGACTTTAGGGGCCTCTGCTCAGTCTGAATGTCGGGGTCCCAGGGCTCAGGCCTGGTCCCCGTCGAGCCTCCTGGTCCCCCGGCCCGGCAGTGTCCCCCCAAATCTGCTTCCCCAGAGCACAGGGGGGACAGGACCGACTCAGGAGCCCACAGGGCCAGCCCTTCCCAGCTGGGTGACCCCAGGGGCCCCTCTCTGGGCCTCAGTTTCCCCGTCTGTGCAACGAGCACCTGAACAACCCCTCGCCCCACAAAGCTGTGGGGAGCATCCAGCGGTTAATTCCGGTAAGAGGTTTCCAGCAGCCCCTCGCGCCCGCTCTGGACTTTCCATGGCTCCCTGGAGCCCCCGACTCCAGGCCAGGCCCCCAAGCCGGGCCACGTGCCACCACCGCCCAGCCCTCCCCATCTCCACCACCGGGAATCCCGCAAGAAGCAGGACCCCCACCCCAAGTCCTGAGATTCTCTCAGACCCCCAGCTGTCAGGAGGGGCCCCCAGGACACCCCTTCCTGCTCCTGCCCCCCGGGAGGCAGCCACGAGCGATTGCCCCATTCTCCTCTCCTCCCCCACCTCCCGGGGGCTGTTTGTGGTCGTCTTTCGACACCAGGATTCCCAACTGACGGTCCCCCCAAGGCCCGGGGAGGCAGGACGGCACCCAGTGTGGCCAAGGCTCGGTGCAGCCCCAGTGCCCATTGACGGGGGAGGACACTGAGGCCCCTGTGAGATTCAAACGCCCTGGGGCTCCCTCCTAAGGACACACAATCTTCTCTGAAGACACAGGGAGCTGCGTCTCTTTTATTTTATTTTTTTGGGGGAGAAGATTAGCCCTGATCTAACATCTACCGCCAATCCTCCTCTTTTTGCTGAGGAAGACTGGCCCTGAGCTAACATCCATGCCCATCTTTCTCTACTTTATATGTGGGATGCCTACCACAGCATGGCTTGCCAAGCGGTGCCGTGTCCACACCCGGGATCCAGGCCGGCGAACCCCGGGCCGCCAAAGCGGAACGTGCGAACTTAACCACTGTGCCACCCGGCCGGCCCAGCATCTCTTTTAAAACCAGAAGGGTCACAGCCAGGAGGGGGGCAGCCTGTGAGCGGCTGAAGGGGAACAAAGACCCGCGGAGGCAAACAGTAGGCGCTCAATTAACGCAGCCCTCCCCCCCGTGCTCTCATCAGACACTTAACCGCGGGATGGACTGTCGGGGTCTGTTCGGTTCGCAGCGGCTCCCCAGGGGCTGTTTGGGGCCGGGTAGACGGTGGGAGCTCAGGAGACGCGGAGCAAATGCACCGAATACATCTGGGCTTTGGGGGCCTGGAGACCTCGAGCGGGGATTTTAAGCTCCCTGGGACTCAGTTTCCCCTCCTCTAAACTTAGAGGTCAGTCAGTCCCTACGCCACAGGGCTGTGTGTGGTCGGGAGTAGATCCTGGCAAACAGCAAGCGCTGCCTCAATGCGCGACACGTAAATTCCCGGCGAGGGCGCGCCCGCCGCCCCCGCATCCCGGGCCGGCTGGGGGCCTGGCGAGCGGCCCGGAGCGGCCGAGCGCGGGGCGGGCGGGGACGCGGGGACGCGGGGACGCGGGGCGGGCGGGCGCGGCCCCCCAGCCTCCTTTGTCTCTCGACCGCTCGGGCGCCCAGGGAGCTCGCCATGGAAACGCGCGCCGGCGGGCGGCGGGCACCGGGGCGGGGCGCGGGGACGCGCGGAGACGGGGCGGGACCCGGGGAGACCCCGCGCCCCGCGCCGATGAGGCTCCCGCGGCCCATCCGGGAGGCCCGGGAGGGGAGGAGCCCGCGGACCCCGGCCCCGGCCCGCGCCCCCCGCAGACGGAGACCCCCGAGCCCCGGAGGCGGAGGAGGCGCGAGCCGGGGAGGCGGGGACGGCGCGCCCGGGGCCCCGGCTGGAGACGGACACGCGCGGCGGCCCCTTCGCTCCGAGACAAAGAGCCCCCGCCCCTCGCGCCGCGTCTAGGCCGGGCGGGCGCGGGGTCTCGGCGGCGGGGTCCCTCCCGCCTCCCCTCCCCCTCCGCCGCCCCCCGCCCCCGCGGGGGAGGGGCCGCGCTTTGTGCTCGCGCCGCAGCCCCCGCCCGCCGCCGCCGCCAGCTCCGCCCTGCCCGCGCGGGCGCCAGGTGAGGGGCTGCGGCCGCGGGGCCCGACCCTCCCGGGCCCCGGCCCCCCGTTCCCCGCGACGCCCCGACCCTGACGCGGCCCCGAGACCCCCGCGCCGGGCCGGCCCCGCCCTCTTCGCCGAGCCCCCTCCCGACCCCCCATCCGGGGCGTGCGGGTGCCCGGCAGCCGGCCGGTTGGCCAGGGCCGCAGTGCGCGGGGGAGGCCGCGGCGACGCCCCCTCCCCAGCCTCAGTTTCCCCGAGCGGTTTTGGCGCATCCTCGCCCGCCCCTCCCCCGCAGGCGCCGGCACCGGGTCCCCCCGGGCTCAGTCTGCAGCCCCCTCCTCCAGCGCGGCTTTGTCCCCTCCGACCACGGCCTGTGGCGCCCGCGGCACCATGATCGCGACCAAGGAGAAGAATAAAACCCCCAAGGACAGCATGACGCTCCTGCCTTGCTTCTACTTCGTGGAGGTGAGCGGGGGTCGCGTGGGAGGGGGGGCGAGGCAGTGGCCTCGGTTCTGTTGGACCCCTTGGGGACCCCACGCTGAGGGACAGGGGCAGCCGCAGCAGGGGTCAGCCTGGGTCCGGGGCGCAGCCCGGTGCCCCGGGGTGGGAGTCAGAGAGGTTGGGCTCTGCAGGTCGAGTAGGAGTTCCCAAGGCCCACAAGGGTGTTCTGGGCTGTGGAGGTGACCTGGGGTGCAGGTCCGCAGGTCCCTGGAGGGGCTGGAGCAGGGGCTGGGGGCCCAGAGGGGCTGGGGGTGCAGCGTGTTCCTCCATCACTTGCCTCTGAAGCCGGAGGGCCTGAGTTCAAGTCCCCCTCTGCTGGTTGTGGGCTGCGGCACTTCTAACCTCGGCGGGGACAGGCCGGACCCACGGTGACCACTTCACGAGTGTTTTAAAAATCAAAGGCCATAAGCGCAGCCGCCTGGCAATGCTGACGATGGCCCAGGGTGACAGCTCTCTGTCCTCGGAGGGCCAGCACCTGCCATAGTCCCCCTGAAGCCACGATCTCCCCCAGTGGACATGGGGGAAACTGCTGCAGTGAGGGGCCCGGGCAGGACATGGTGGAGCGGCGGCCCCCACACCCTGCGGCCGGCCGGTGCACAGGCTGGCTCAACTCAGGCCAGCCCTCCCTCCCCAACAGGCAGAAACTCTGATTATTGCTTAGATTTGCACTGAAATCCCCGTTACCATAGGTTAGGCAGCTCCCCCTGCCTCGGAAGTCCCCTCCCACTCCTCTCCCCTCAGGCTTGGGGTCAGGTCCAGCAGATGCCCATCCCTTCTGGCACCACCTATTAAAACACTAGTTTCTGCTTTTGGCTTTTTTTCTGGCAGAGATTAGAGCTCTTTGCTTCGGTTTACATTGTCCCAGGAAAGGGAGTCCCTTTTCCTTTTTCACTGCTGTGTAGTACTCCAGCTCGGAGGCACCTTCCCCAGGCACTGGTCATTGGGGGCTTGTAGTCCCTTTGGCCTGTGTCACTGGGCACAGAGGGAGCTCGTCTGCAGGGGATGTCCCTGGGGAGCAGGGTGTAGCCCCCCAAGAAAGACCCCACATCCCTCAAGGAGGCCTCAGCATCTCCCTGGCCCACGCGGGTGCCCGTTCGCCCCCAGGCGTGGCAGCACCAAGCGTCCGTGGCCTTTTGGGTTTTGACCAACTTGATGGGCGCAAAACCACATGCCAGCTCTCCTTGCCTTTCCCTTCTTGCGAGCATTACGTTGACTTTCTACGAACGCACGTCTGTCCCAGATGCGTTGGCAGGACACCCGCGAGTGTCTGAATCATTTTCTTGGGTCCGATACGCTCTCGGGTCCCTAGCTTGCGGCTGAGGGTCTCTGGGAGCGATGAGAAGAGGCTGGGGGGCTTGAGGAGGTACCTACGGACCCTCCGGGGGTGGCGGGGGCCCCACCACCTCTCATGTCCTTTTGGGGCAGAGGACCCACCCTGAGGCTCGGAAAGCCGTGGGGGCGTCGACAGAGGGTCACAGGGAGCAGCCCAGCTCGGGGAGGGGGCACGACCAGGCTGTGCGGAAGGACAGGAGCACGAATGAGCGACACCACGGATTCAGGCATTTAGCTCAGCACCTGCCGTGGGCCCGATGCTGAGTGTAGGTTGGTGTCTGGGGGCGCAGAGTCCCAAGGAAATGAAGCAGCACAAGGCATGGAGAGACGGCGGCCCCGGGGGCCCCTCAGAGGAGGGCGAGGCACCAGAGGGAGGTCCAAGGGCGTCCGTTCCTCCTTGAGAGGAAAGGCCCAAAGGCAGGAATGTGTTTGCTGTTTCCAGGTTGTTCAAGACGCCAAGGGCGGCTGGAGAGCAGAAATGAATGAATGAGGTGGATGGGTGGGTGGGTGATGGATGGATGGGTGGGTGGGTGGATGATGGACGGGTAACTCAGGGGGTTGGTGAACGAATGCCTGGGTGCAGGAGTGGCTGAGACGGCCGGCTGGCTCTCTGGATGTTACACAGCGTGGCGGGTGGGTCACGGGATGGACGTGTGAGCTGACCAACGGGTGCGCCGCAGCGTGCACAGGCAGACAGTGGCTGGATCAGGGGACGGGCCTAGATTCATGGATGGACGACCCGGTGAGCGAGCGTGGGGCAAGCTGGCCGGCCGTCTCCCCACAGCTGCCCATCGTGGCGTCGTCCATCGTGTCCCTGTACTTCCTGGAGCTGACCGATCTCTTCAAGCCGGCCAAGGTGGGCTTCCAGTGCTACGACCGCACGCTCTCCATGCCCTACGTGGAGACCAACGAGGAGCTCATCCCGCTGCTCATGCTCCTCAGTTTGGCCTTCGCCGCGCCCGCCGCGTCGGTGAGTCCTGGGCGCCCGGGGTCTGGGCTGGGGGGTGGGCGCCCCCGGCCGGGCCCGTCTGAGCGCCTCCCTGTCCGCAGATCATGGTGGGCGAGGCCCTGCTGTACTGCCTGCAGTCGCGGCTGTGGGGCCGCGGCGGGGGCCCGGGCGGGGCCGAGGGCAGCATCAGTGCCGGCGGCTGCAGCTTCAACTCCTTCCTGAGGCGCACGGTGCGCTTCGTGGGTGAGTGGCGGACGCGCCCCAGCCCCTCCGCGAGTCCGCCCGCGGGGCCCCTGCCCGGCCCTGACCCTCCCTCCCCGCAGGCGTCCACGTGTTCGGCCTGTGCGCCACGGCCCTGGTGACCGACGTCATCCAGCTGGCCACCGGCTACCACGCGCCCTTCTTCCTGACGGTCTGTGAGCCCAACTACACGCTGCTGGGCACGTCGTGCGACGCCAACCCCTACGTCACGCAGGACATCTGCTCCGGCCACGATGCCCACGCCATCCTGTCCGCACGGTGAGCCGCCCCGGCCCGGCCCGCTGAGCGCACGGGGAAACTGAGGCACAGAGGGGTTCCCAGAGCCTGTGGGGCTCACGGACGCCTCTTACAGGAAGACGTTCCCGTCCCAGCACGCCACGCTGTCCGCCTTCGCCGCCGTCTACGTGTCGGTGAGTCTCGGCGAGGCCCCGGCCCCCCCCCCGTCCCCGGCCCCCCGCTCCCCGGCCGCCCTGACCGGCCCGCCCGCCCCGCCCACAGATGTACTTCAACTCGGTCATCTCGGACACCACCAAGCTGCTGAAGCCCGTCCTGGTGTTCGCCTTTGCCATTGCCGCGGGCGTGTGCGGCCTCACCCAGATCACGCAGTACCGCAGCCACCCCGTGGACGTGTACGCCGGCTTCCTCATCGGCGCTGGCATCGCCGCCTACCTGGTGAGGGGGCTGGGGGTGGGTGCAGGCGCCCGGAGGGACCCCTGGGGGGACGCGGCCTGGCCCTGCGCTGAGGCTCTGACCGGTCCTGTGCCCTGGACGCTGGAGTCAGAACCTCGTGGCCCAGACGCGCCCCATATGCAGAGCCAGCAGCCTGAGGCCAGAGTTCGCCGGCTGGGAAAGACCGACGCCTCCCTCAGACCCCCCAGCGAGGGCCAGGCCTCCCCCTTCGGACCCCCAGGGCAAGTGTGTCGCCCAGTGGGGACCCTCGTCTCCGGCCCCCGCCTCATGCCCCTCCCGCGTCTCCTCCCCAGGCCTGCCACGCCGTGGGCAACTTCCAGGCGCCGCCCGCGGAGAAGCCGGTGGCCCCCGCGCCTGCCAAGGACGCGCTGCGGGCGCTGACCCAGCGGGGCCACGACTCGGTGTACCAGCAGAACAAGTCGGTGAGCACGGACGAGCTGGGCCCGCCCGGGCGGCTGGAGGGTGTGCCGCGGCCCGTGGCCCGCGAGAAGACCTCGCTGGGCAGTCTGAAGCGGGCCAGCGTGGATGTGGACCTGCTGGCCCCACGCAGCCCCATGGGCAAGGAGAGCATGGTGACCTTCAGCCACACGCTGCCCCGCGTGAGCACGCCCTCGCTCGATGACCCCGCGCGCCGCCACATGACCATCCACGTGCCGCTCGACGCCTCGCGCTCCAAGCAGCTCATCAGCGAGTGGAAGCAGAAGGCGCTGGAGGGCCGTGGCCTGGGGCTGCCCGACGAGGCCAGCCCGGCGCACCTGCGGGCGCCCGCTGAGCCCATGGCCGAGGAGGAGGAGGAAGAGGAGGAGGAGGAAGAGGAGGAGGAGGAGGATGGGGAGGAAGGGGGTCCCGCCCCACCCTCGCTCTACCCCACCGTCCAGGCGCGGCCGGGGCTGGGGCCGCGGGTCATCCTCCCGCCGCGGGCCGGGCCGCAGCCGCTGGTGCACATCCCCGAGGAGGGGGCGCAGGCGGCGGCCGGCTTGTCCCCCAAGAGCAGTGCTGCCGTGCGGGCCAAGTGGCTCATGATGGCCGAGAAGAGTGGGGCGGCCGTGGTCGCGGCCCCTGCGCAGCCCCGCGTGGCCAACCCGCCCCGGCTGCTGCAGGTGATCGCCATGTCCAAGGCGCCGGGCGGGCCGGGCCCCAAGGCGGCTGAGACGGCCTCATCCTCCAGCGCCAGCTCCGACTCCTCCCAGTACCGGTCGCCGTCAGACCGCGACTCGGCCAGCATCGTCACCATTGACGCGCACGCGCCCCACCACCCCGTGGTGCACCTGTCTGCGGGTAACGGGCCCTGGGAGTGGAAGGCGGCGGGCGGCGGGGCTAAGGGGGCGGAGGGCGAGGGCAGCTACGAGCTGGGGGACCTGGCTCGCGGCTTCCGGGGCGGGCCCAAGCCGCCCGGCGTGTCCCCCGGCTCGTCCATCAGCGACGTGGACCAGGAGGAGCCACGCTTTGGTGCCGTGGCCACCGTCAACCTGGCCACGGGCGAGGGGCTGCCCCCACTGGGCGCGGCCGATGGGGCGCTGGGGCCGGGCAGCCGCGAGTCGACCCTGCGGCGCAAAGCAGGCGGCCTGGCGCTGGGCGAGCGCGAGGCGGCAGGCGAGGCGGAGGCAGAGAGCTACTACCGCAAGATGCAGGCGGCCCGCAGGTTCAAGGACTGAGCGCAGCGGCCGCGGCGCCAAACGGGGCGGGGCAGCCGCATGGGGCGGGGTGGACGCGGGCGGGGCGGGACTTCGTGGCAGACAATAAAGGTCGATACTGGCGTCTGGCTCCTCAGTCATTTCGGTCCAAGGACCCCCGAGGGCAGCCCTGTGGTGGCACACGGGCCGGGCCGGGGTCCCCAGCTCCACCTGCCTGGGGCGCACACTCGTTGTGGGGGGCGGGGCCCATCGAGTGCACCGGGAGCTGGGGCAGTGCCGAGGTCCACACCGTGGGGCACGACCCCTGGCCCCACCTCCCAGCCCCCCCAGGTGCGTGGGGACAGGAGACCAAGAGACAGGAACTGGGTGCCCCCACGTGAACCTGCAGGGGCACAAGAACGAGCGGGACAAGGCAGGGTTGTTATAAAATTGCTTTAATTCCGTTCTCTCCGCATTACAAGCCGGCGGCGGGCGGTGGAGCGCGCCGAGCCCCCGTCACAATACTGACCTGTAATTGCTGTTATCAAAATATACATCTGTCACCATAAAAACCGCGATTGCTGCCCCTCGTCTCTGACAACAGGTATAAAAAATTATAAATATCTACACCCTTGTTCCACCCCATCTGGAAACGGGGCCCAGGTCCCCGGGCGGGGCGGCCAGCACGGGGTCCGCGCGCAGGGAGCCCCTTGGACCCGCGGGAGCAGGTGAGGCGCGAAGGAGACGTTAAGACTCGAGGGCCGCGGCCCCACCGTCTGGGTCCCAGTGTCAGAGGCAGACAAAACAGAAAACTTTGGTCCAAAATTTGCAGGAAAAAGGAGACCCTGAAAGTCGGAGCGCGCCCGTCCTGGGACGAGGCCGGGCCTAAGGCGTCGGGAGGCCCTGCGGCCGTCACAGAAACACGAGTACAGTATACAGGTCACCACGAGGAGGAAGTTAGATACACTCATACCATTTTCATCATCTCGCTATAAAAAGTTACTTAAACTATGTCTTTTGCATATAAATGAAGAAAGATTAGCATATTTGGTCAACTGGAGAGATCGCTAGGCACAGGCGTGCGGCACATCGAAGCACAAGATTAGGGAGCTGAAGGCGGCGGCGGCCGGGGGCCATCGCACACGTGATTACACTGGGTTGGCCGCCACCGGGCACCCGGACCCGCCCCGCGTCCGCCCCCGCGAGGCCCGCGGGGCGCGGGTTTAAGGCACAGGAGGGCCGCGGGGGCCCGCCGGCGGCAGAAGGCACGGGGCGGCGGGCGTGCTGTCCACTCGCCGAGCGAGGGCCGAGGCCGGCTCCCCAAAGGAATTAGATTTAATTTTTTTAAAAACAGGTAAACTGATTTCTCTTTAAAAAAATAAAATCTCTGGTCTTTTAAGGTCACTTCAGCTGCTTTTTAAAGTGGCTTTTCTGGAATGATGGAAGTGGTGGCGGCGCCCGCGGGGTCCTGGCGGCCTAGATGGTGGACTTGGAGAAAGAGACCCGCAGGTGGTGGTTCTCGCCCAGGTCGTGGTTGTGCAGGTCGATGAGCGCCTGGATCGCCTCCTCCACGGAGCCCATCTGGATCAGCGCCATCTTCCGGTCCTTCCTGCGGACGAGAGGCCGGCGGGCGTGAGGGGGGGGAGGAATCGGGGGAGGAGGACGTGGGGGGGCCTGGCACTCACTGGAAGAACTTGAACCCCTTGACGATCCCGCCGTTGCTGGAGAAGAGGATCTTGAGGTCGTCCTCGGATATGGAGGGCCTGCGGGGAGGGCGGCCCTGAGCGCGCGTCCAGGCCCCAAGGACCCGAGCATCTGCGGCGCCCGCCAGGCTGCACGCGCTCGGCCCCACAGCCCCGCCCGCCATCGCGCCGCGGCACCTACGGGATGTTGGAGAGGTGCAGGGTGGCGGAGGGCGGGAAGATGTTCTGGAAGTTCTTGGAGCCCGGCTTCTTGAAGCGGTGCAGCGGCGAGCTGCCGTAGTCCTTGGTGAGGCCCTGGTCCTCCTGGCCCTCGCGGGGCAGCTGCACGTTCTGGTGCTTGGACAGCGTGATGCGCACCGGCTTCCCGTGCAGCTTGTGCCCGTTGAGGTGGCTCATGGCTGCGGGGGCGGGACACACGTGGGACACGTGGCCCGAGGCCCCGGCCCGCCCGCCGCCCGCCCGCCCGCGGAGCCCGCACTTACCCAGCTGGGCCTGGCTGCCGTCGGCCATCTGCACCAGCGCGTTCTCCTTCTTGTTGAAAAGGATCTTCACCCGCTGCACGTCGCCGTACACGCCTTCAAAAGCGCGGGGACAGGCCTCAGCCGCTGGCCCGCGCCGCCTCCCCGCCAGCCCCGCACCCCGCACCCCGCACGGGGCTGGCTCTCCCCGCAGCTCTGCTTAAACTCTGCCTCGGGGACCTGCGTCTACCACGGGGACGTTACCAGGAGCGCGACCTTCAGCCACAAGTCCTAAACGCAGGACACGCCAACGGCCAGAGCCAGCACTACATGCTACCACACGCTGGCCTCTGCGGCATGCGGGCCACATGCGTCCACGGCGCCAGATACAAAACGCAACCGAGGCCGCCGCGCGCGACCGGGCCGCCGCGCACCCCGCACGGCTGGGCGGCCACAGTAACCTCCGTTAAACGCAAACAAGGTAATAAAAGTGTGAATGATAACATACCGAAAAGAATAAAGAGGCTTTGGGGTGTGACTCTCTTTAGAGGACAGCAGAGCAAGGCAGCGGAGGGACAGGGAAAGGGAGAGGTCAGGGAGCAGGAGCCATCGTCCACCGAGGAGGCAGGCGTGCAGGTTGATGGATGATGAAGTTGTCAGGATGTTAATATTCAAGGGCAGGTTGGTTCCGGAGAGCAGGGTTTGAGGGGGAATTTTGTTTTTATTTATTTATGGTTTTGTTTTGTTTCAAGCAACAACGGAAGCAGAAGAACCGTGCAGTCAGTTGGCAAAGAAATTCCGGATCAGGGCAAGAAAAAAAACCGGGAAAGGGGAAGGGGAGAAAAGAAAAAAGTAGCAAAAAACACAGGTCAGTAAATACATAAGAACCCGCAGTGTCCACAGTCAAGCTCCACACGCACACGGGCCCGGGGCCGCCACGGGGACACCAGCGCCGGGGCCTCCTCGCCGCCGCGGGCCCTCACGCTCACACGAGCTCGGCGGGTCTGTTAGTGGCGGCTTTGCCGGAACCGCTAACACAGCCGGGCCGCGGCCGAGAAGTGAGAGGAGCGGTCAGACAGACAGAGGACAGTCTGAGAGCCTGGCTGCGCCCGCCGCCCAGAGGGTACAGTTGGGAGCCCGTCACCGCACCCAGCTCGCCCCAGCCGGCTGGACGCCGAGCCACACGGGGTCGCGCCCTCCCTTCCTGAGGCTCATGCCCTGGTGTCAGGATGGCTCCCGGGCGAGGGGCCTGCGACTCTGGGCGCCACAAGGTTAAACCTGACTTGAGGTGATGGAGACGGGAGACCGCACGCAAAGGGAAGTAGGACGCGGGAGCGACGCCAGCACAGAGGGACGCAGGGGACAGTGCCCTGCCCGGGCCGGGTGACGGGGCCCAGCCTGTCTGCCACCTGCACGGCCGCCCGCCCGTGTCCCGGGAGGACGCCTGGGGCCACGTACCTCGGGGTTCAGGTTGCTGACCAGCAGCACAGAGTTCCCGGCCCCAGCCAGGCCCGGGAGGGCGATCCTGCCCGCTGCTGCCGCTGCCGCTGCCGACGGGATGGCCAGGGGGGCCAGCGCCCCGTGCACGTTGGGGACAGAGAGGCCTGCGGAGGGAGGGGTGCGGTGAGCAGCAGCCGGACGAGGGGCGCGGGTCCTGCCCGTCCTCATGCAAAGGAGCTGCGCAGAGGCGCCCGGCTGCTCGCGGCCCCGCCTGGCCACCGGCCGCGCCATCCTCTCCTCGTGGCACAGCTCGTGCTGGGCCTGGACCTGTCTACATGCGCCAGACAGCACAGAAGCGCCAGCTCCGCGGATGCAGAATCGGGCCGCGGCCTCCGCCTCGTGCATGCAGACACCCGTCACCATGCAGACGACGGGCCGGCGCAACCAGCAGGCTCGACACTCACGCGGCGGCGCCGGCCCCCGGGAGGGGCGCGCAGGTGCCCGCCTGGGCATGCGCTCCGCTTACCGGGCCACTTAAACTCCTCTACTAGGGGCACATCCCTCCAACCACGCGGCTCGCCCCGCAGACGCTGAGGGAACAGACCAGAGACTGCGGGGTTAGCCCACTCTCTGCGCGGCCCTGGCCTGCGCCTGCCCTGTCCAGGCTCCTCGGGGACCCAGAGCCGCGCCCAGGAAGGTGGCTCCCCGGGGCTGCGCCACGTCGGCCGCCCGCGGAAGCAGAGCTACGGAGGAGTGTGGGCATGCAGACGGCTGTGGGGACGACCGGGTGTGTGAATACCTGCGGCTTGAGGAATGGCAAAGGTGGGAGGGAAACCAGCTCCTGCATACGGAGAGGCTGACATTATACCAGGCGCACCTAGAAATAAATGAGACGCTAATCACCGCTCCCACCGCCCAGGCCGCCGGGGCAGGGCGCGGGGCCGCGTCTGTGCTGGGCACCCCTGGGGCCTGGGCCCTGAGCCTGCGCTACATCCTCGCCCCCCACAAAGGCGTCCCAGGAGCCCGGGCGTCCTACCGAAGGCCGCGGCCATGGTCTGGTCCAGCGAGGGCTGGCTGTCGCCCGAGGGCAGGTCGGGGCGCGTGTAGTCGCGGCTCTTGTCGTTGTTGTACTTGACGTTGAGGCTGGTGAGCTTGGAGAAGTCGATGCGCAGCGTGCAGCAGGCGTTATAGATGTTCTGGCCGTCCAGCGACTGCGGGGAGGGGCTGTGAGCGCTGCGCCGGGGGGAGGGGAGGGGGGGCCGGGGCCTCGGGCTGGGGGGTGGGGGGCCGCTCACCAGCTTGGCGTGCTGGGCGCTCACGGGCTCCGCGTACTGCAGCAGCGCCTGGAACTGGTTGTTCTTGGTGAAGGTGATGATTTTCAGCACCGTGCCGAACTTGGAGAAGATCTGCGGGAGAGACACGCTCGCCTCCGCCCGCCACGGCTGCCGCCCCCGCCCAGCCGCGCCCCACAGGCCGCTCACCTGGTGGAGCACGTCCAGGGTCACCGGGTAGAACAGATTCTCCACGATGATCCTCAGCACCGGGCTCTGGCCGGCCATCGCCATCCCGGCGTCCACCGCGGCGGCCGAGGCGGCCAGGGCCAGATTTCCTGACTGGACCGAGTTCACGGCCTGCAGGGCTGCCTGGGCGCGCTGTGGGGGCACAGCTGTGAGCCGCGTGCCCGGGCCAACCCCCAGGCCGCCGGCCCGCCCACGCCCGCCGCCCCCGGGCCGCACCGCCTGGTTGGGCGAGCTGTCGGTCTTGAGCTCCTTGTGGTTGGAGAACTGGATGTAGATGGGCTGGCCGCGCAGCACGGGCGTCACTGACGTGTAGTAGTTCACCATGGTGTTGGCGGCCTCCTCCGTGTTCATCTCGATGAAGGCCTGCGGGTGGCGCAGGTGAGCCGGGCCCCCAGAGCCACCCCCAGCCGGCCCCCGGCGCAGCGGCCGTACCTGGTTCTTCCCTTTCAGCATCAGGAGGTTGGTAACCTTCCCGAAGGGCAGCCCCAGAGAGATGACCTCGCCCTCGGTGACGTCATTGGGCAGCTTGCGGATGTGGATGACGCGGGAGGGCACGCCTGCGCTCCTGCTGTCGCCCTTGAACTTCTTGCTGTCATTCCCGTTGGCTGAGGAGGAGCGTTCGTGAGGCACGGCGCCCCTGCCCACCTTGGGGGCCCACGTCTGGTGTCCTTCCGCTACCCCCACTCCCCAGGAAGCAGGGCGCTGTGTGAACTGGGGCACGAGGCCACGGGGGCCAGGGCTGATACGCCACAAGCGAGTACATCCCCACAGCACCTGGGGCCACGACCACGCCGGACGGTGGGCTACCTGCGGAGGCCGAGCCGCTGCTCATGATAAAGGGTCCGTTGGTGACGCAGGCAGAGAAGAGCTCGTCGGATCCCCGCTGGAAGAGGAGAGAGCATGTTGGAACTGGAGGCACAGCTGCACCCACCCTCCTCTGGACCCCCAACCACATCCGGCGGCCTTCAGCTGAGCCCACCTGCCCACACAGCGCAGGTCCAGAGTCCCAGGTCGCCCCTCCTTGCCAACCCGCCACAAGCATGGGGCCTTCCTAAGCAGGGGGCGGGGGTCCCGTCACCTGCAGGAACTGTGGGTGCCACCCCGCCTCCAGGTTGGGCACGGACCCCCTGGGTCCACATGGGGGCCACGGCACAAGTGCCCATCACAAGGCTGAGCCCCACGAGGAACAAAGCCCCCTTGTCTGCCACAGCCGTGCGCTCAGCCGGAGGGCCTGCCCTACTTCCCAGCGGCTGAGGAAACCCGAGCCTGGGCTTTGGCGCTTTCCGAGACGGGAGGCCCGGCCCTGAGACCAGGGAGGCGACCAGCACGGCCGAGGGAAGCTCCCTGTGCCTTCTGACTGGCCCGCTTCTTTCCAGAGACGACTCGTTCACTGCTCGTCTCAACCTAATCGAATCAACTCCCCAGAAGCAGGCCCTGGGCTCGGAGAACGGGAGCACGAGCACCAGGAACGTGGGTGTATGGAGCCCCCAGGCCTCCAGCCCACCGAGAACTAGGCCCCAAGGGCAGCCAGGATGGGGCCCCCACCCGGGGCCGCCCTGCCAGGGAAGCAGGACCCAAGTGACTCCTCCGACCACGTCCAGATGCGAACCCGACAGCCATGGAGGGGTCCCCAGCCCCCAGGAGCCCTCCGCTCCGCAGCAGGAAGAGGAAAGACCAGCCCTCCTGGGTCCTCAGCAGAACCCTGGGCCCCTGCCAGCCCTGCACCCCCAGCAGGCAAAACCAACTGAAGAAATCCAAAGAGGATAACAAACTACCCTTTGGGACGAGGAGCAGGAACGAGCACGCCGACTGGGCAGGTCCCCAAACCAGGCCCCTGGCTGCGTTGAGTGCCTGCAGGGGGGCCAACTCTGCTCTGCTGGAGGCGCGGGCCTGAGACCAAGGCCAAGGTCAGGGTGTGGGGGGGCGCGGGGCAGAGCAACCACAGACCAGACTGCTCCCCGGGCTACGACGGCAGCGCTCAGAAGCAGCCACTGTCCTAATGCTGGGTTGTGGGTCCTGGGTCCTGAGTGCTCAGGAGGGACAGACGGAGGTGGCAGCCCCCGCAGAGCCCCTCTGACCCCGAGGGCAGGTGCAAGTCCTGCAGAGTCCTCAGCAAAGCCCTTTCCTGTCTACACCCAGTCCCTGCCTTCCTTGGGCTCAGAGCTGGAAACGGCCCAGGCACCCCGCACCTCAGGAACAGCGTCTGGCTCCTGACAGCCACGGCCAAGACCCTGTTTCCTCGCAGTGGTGGCATTCTTGGCCCTAATCGTGTTCCCATGGCAGGTGGCCTGGCACTCCCACAACTGCGGGCAACTCTCTGCCTGCTCGGCCGGCCCACTGCCCTGACAGAGGCCGGGTCGGTGACACGGCCCCCCATAGGGGGGTGCCCACACACAGTGACAGTGACTCACAAGGACCAGCCCACTCGGGAGAACTGCGAGGCAGAAGCCCGGGGCACGTGGGCCAGGCTGGCACTCGGGCATGCCTGTGCTGGGGACAGGGCGCCCGGCTCCGCACAGCACGGGGACCTCCCTTGTTGCCACAGCACAGCTCGTTCTGAACCAGGGGCAAGGACGACGGAGCCCAGGCCCCACGCTGCCCTCCTGCTGAGGGCCGTTGGGCACAGAGCTGTGCTTGCAGAGAGGGGCAAAGTCTCCTGGGGACGGGAGGGGGCCGCTCCAGCTGGACACCAAGTGGGCCCCACGGCAGCCGGGAGGATTACATGTGAGCCAGGCGTTTCCACGATTGTCACAAGCGCCTTAGACGGAGGCCCCCTCCCCCAGCCGCCAGCCAACAAACAGGTTTTATCTGTAGAAGGACCAGACAGGCGGCGAGGACAGGAACCCACGTGGGGAAACCGAAACTCAGCCCAGGCCCCACAGCCGAGCTTCCAGAGACCGGCTGGCCACCAGGGCGGGACACCCAAGCCACCCTCAGCAGGCTCAGGGAACTCGGCCCCAGGAGGAGGACCCCAACCCCGGCCAGGACCCAGTCTCAAATCATTAACCAAGTGGCCAGCAGTGGCCACCAGAGCCCAGGACGACCGGCCTGCCCCTCGACCCTGCTCTCCCCGTGGGAACAGATGAGCGTGCTGAGCCGCACGCTGGAGCCCAGCACTTTCCCCTGCCTCTACCCGGAAACACTCCCTGGAATGTTCCAGAGCAAAACTCATCCTCAGCACCATCTCAAGCCGCCCGTAAGGTCCCAGGGCGCCCACAGCTCCTCCAATCCCACCTCCCACTCCAGCCTCCTCATGGTGCAACCACGTTCAACTTCCCAGTCTCCACCCGCAGCCCCTGGACCCCTGCTCAGCGCCCACCGCCCATTCCAACTCAAGGCTAAAGGAGCGTTCACCGGGAAGGCCACCTGGCCCACCGTGCTGGGGAGTCTCAGCCTGGACGCGAACACGCTGACGGGCAGAGAACGCTGCCGAGAGAGCCCGGCCTACATTCTCCGCCCGAAGCAAACTGGGAAACCCGGAGCCACGGCCAGCGAGCAACAAGGAAGCAGGGTCAGAAGCGCCTACCTTTGTACCAACTGCTATGTCTGGGACGATGCTGCGGAGAGAGAAGAGGAGACGGTTAGGCAGGTATGCGGCCGGCCCAGGTGTGGAGACCCGCCAAGCCGCCAGCGTGGGGTCCCCAGCTGCACATGCCCCCCGGGCCCTCCTGGCGGGAAAGCTAAGGCAGAGAAGTGAGCCATCCATCTCAGCTCCACTTGAAAAGGAGCCACCATTGTCTTCCGCCCCTCCCTCCCAGCAGGACCCCAGGCCCCGCCTCCGGACGGTCCACAGACAAAGACACCCCTGCAAAGCCCCTGGGGCTCCCGCAGCCTGATGCTAAAGTCTGCTGCTCTGCTCTGCTTTCTAAACACTGGAAACCAAGGACCCTTCCAGCACAGGGAGGCAGGCCGGGGAGAGACCTGCGCACAGGCCCTGAGGTCAGAGCTCGGCCGGGGGGCACGAGGAGGGACTCAAGGTTCACAGAGGGCAAGCTCAGAGAACGGGCAGCAAGGAGCAGCAGGTGAAACGGAAGATAAAACGCGCCCAAGTTACTCATCAACCTGGCTCCGCGTGACTGGACTTTCTCCTCCGCCGCCGCCGCGGGGCTCGGGCCCTCCTCAGGGCGGCAGGAGGAAGGCATGGCGCCTGCCCCCGGTTCCAGCCGCCCTGAGCCTGCACTGCACCGCGGCCACTCAGCGGGAGCACCCGAGAGCTTCGACGTGGCAGATAGGAAGTGGCAAACTACCGAACAGAGTGACTCACAAACCGCCCGTCCAGGAAGGGAACTGAGTCAGCAGCGCCCCCCACCAGGTCACCTGGCTGCCCAGCCTGGTGGTCTGGTGACCAGAGCCTCCGTGATGTCACGCAGCGATGTCCCCCTCAGCCGGTGGGCCAGAGAAGGCTGGCCTTAGGCCGGGCACAGAGCCCTGGGGCAGCCGCCTGCACTGCTTCCCTGGGGCCCCCGAGCTCCTCTTCTGTCGCTCCTGCCCTCAGGAAACCAAGTCCACGGCCTGACGCCCTCGGGCATGGGGACACCAAGCCCTGCACCCCAGTCCCGCCGCTGCCACCCTCCCCTGCTCGCAGGCACGCTCGCCCCGACCTCGGCCGCAGTGCCTTCCCCTCTGCCCTACGAAACAAAATCTCGTGGACTCGTGTCAGCAGACTTCTAAAGACCTCACTGAGCCAAGGAAGAACTCCCCAGAAAAACTGCAAGAATGAGAAACATGCAGCTGCCCCGACGGCTAACCCGGGGCGGCTCTGCTTCCTGCTCCCCGGGGGGCCTCCAAGCGGGAAGCGCTCTGCGCAGAGCGGCCTTACTGCAAACGGTTTGCAAACCTGCGCCAGAGGCCGCCCAGGTGACCGCCACCCCGCCCCGGGGAGGCCGCGCGGCCTGGCCGCCCCATCTGCGGGCGGAACGCCCCCCGGACCCCGGACGCCCCTTCAGGGAGCAGCCCGAGCGCCAGCGCTCGACCGGACGGCCAGGAACACGCTCCCGCCGGGCCGAGCACCCTCTCCAGGGGCCCCGCGGCCCGCCGGCTCGGGCAGGGGCGCGGCGGCGGCGTCCAAGCCGAAAAGCAAGGCGCACCCCGAGGAGATCATGTTCCTCCTACTGCAGCAACTTTTCTAAAGGACTGGACTCGACTGAGCCCCAAACCTATCATTTCAAACCCGAGCCGCACGAGGCACGTGACCCCCGGGCACGGGAGCCACACCCCCCACCCCGGGGGTCGGGCCGGGGAGGGCGCGTTCCGCCCGGTCGGAAGAAACCGGAGCCGCCTCCGGAACCTCCCAACTTCCCGGGACTCGGCGCGCGCCCCTCCCCCTCGGGCAGGCTGCAAGGACCGGCCGCCGCCGGGACCGAGGCCCCTGCACCGCCGCCACCTCCCCGCGCGCGACACTGTAGCCACCGCGCGGATACTTTGTAGCGCGGCGCCGACACTGTGTCGCCGCGCCCGCCTCCCTCCCTCTCCACCCGCCGCTCTGGGCTCCGCGAGCGCCGGCCGGGCCCCCGCCCCCGGCGGGAACAAAGGGGCGGCGGGCGGGGGCGAGCGGGGTCCGCGCCCTTCCGGGAGGAGGCGGCGTCTCCGGCCGCGCCCCGGCCCGCGGCGGGCGAGGGGGGGGCCGGGGGCAGAGTCCGCGCGGCGGGAAAGGCCGCGCACGCGCACCAGACGCCCGGCGGGGGCGCGCGGAGCTGCGCACGCGCGCGCGGGGGGCGGACGGGGAGCGGGAAGGGCCACGCGGGGCGCGCGCAGAGAGAACGAGGGGCCCGCAGGGCCACAGCAGGGGCGCGAAAGGGGGGACGGGGCACCGGAAGGGCCACACGGGGCGCGCGGGGACCGGACGGGAAGCGAGGAAGGCCGCGCGGCCGCCGCGTGCGCCCGGGATGGGGCGCGCGCAGGCCGGAAACGGGCTGGGCCGGGCCCAATCGTCCCCCCGCGGCCCCGGCCGCCGTACCCCGCGCCCCGCGCGCGCCCAGGCCGGCGTGGGGGAGGCACCCAAGGCGCCCGCGGGCCGGGACAGCGACGGAGCGGCGCGCGGGCCGTCGCCCCGAGGGGCCCGGGCGGCGGCGAGGGGCCGGCGGGCGCGCGAGGAGGCGGCGGGGAGCGCGGCCGGCACGACTCACCCGTCCATTGCACACCGAGGAGACCCGCGGGGGACGGAGTGGAGGCGCCGGAATAGCAGGAACCGACCCAACGGCTCCGAGTTATAGACTCACAAAATGGCGGAGACGCCCGAACACGTCCCCCGCGCGCCCTGCCCATTGGCTCCCGCCGCGGGGAGGGGCGGGGCCAGCTCCGCGGGCCGCCGCCGGCGCCTCCCACTGGCTAAGAAACCGCTCAGGGGGTGGGGCCAAGGGGAACGCCGGGCGGTCATTGGAGGCGGCGGCCGTCCATCAGGCCTCCAGGCGGAAACGGCCCGTGGAGTCGGGGGAGGGGAGGCCAGACGGGGCCACGTGACGGCGCCTGAGCCCGTGAGCCAGCCGCCCTCCTGCGAGGGGCTCGCGGGAGAAGCCATCTTGAGAGCGGGTACGTGGCGAGGCGGGAGGCGGGAAGCGTGCTTCCCCCAGGCTGCCGCCATCTTGCAAACGGGCAGGGGCCGCCCACCCCCGGCCTGAGGGCGAAGGGAGGCGCGCCGCCATCTTGGGGTCGGGCAGGAAACCTCTGGGGCTCCATCTTGTTTGAGGGCACGTGGCCGGAAAGTCTGATTGGAACTGAGACCGGGTGCCTGGTCGGCGCGCGGGGAGGGGGGCGGCCGCTGACCGCAGTGTCCGCCGCTCCCGCCGAGCCTGCGGGCCGCTCGCCGGCTGGGGGGAGGAGGGAACTGAAGCCTGGGCGTGCGGTGGGCTTGCCGTGCACAGGGGAAACTGAGGCTCGGGCGCGCGGTGGACCTGCCCGCCGTGCACAGGGGGAAACTGAGGCTCGGGCGCGCGGTGGACCCGTGCACACGGGGAAACTGAGGCCCGGGCGCGCAGTGGATCTGCCCGTGCACGCGGGGAAACTGAGGCCCGGGCGCGCAGTGGACCTGCCCTGCATGCGGGGAAACTGAGGCCCCGGGTGCAGAGTGGGCCTGCCTTGCACTTGGGGAAACTGAGGCCCAGGCGTACAGAGCGGAGCCCCGCCACCATGGCCGCGCAGGACGGGCGCGTCTCCACCCCAGCAGAAGGGGGACCCCTAACGTGTTCCGAGAGCACTGGTTGCAAGAAGAGTTGAACAGGGCTGCGGGTCACAGGGGTGCCCCTTGGGGAGGCGACGGGAAACCAGGGCCAGCCGCGTGTGGGGAGCGCGGGGCGGGCGGCAGACGCGGCCGGGAGGTTTGGGAAGCCTCTTGGAGGCGGAGGCTCAGGACCAGCGGCGTCCGTGACCGGCGTCTGCTGCACGTCGGGGCCGCAAAGGGGGTTCCTAACCGGTCCCCGCCCCGAGGTGGGCAGACGCGGGGCTTCTCGGTCCCCCCGAGTCGAGGGGAGGCGGTGCGCCGTCCCCCCCAGGGCGGGTTTCATTTCCAGCCTCAGGCCTGGACGCGCCCGGGGATTAGGGGCGGCCGCCGCCTCCGGGGAGGCCTCGCGCCCTGCGGTCCGCCGCCGGCTCTGGAAGCCCGGCCTCGCTAATGAGGAATGTCCCGGTGGATCTGGGAGAATCCCCGACGCATTCCCGCGGATTTGCTCCCTCCGGGGCTCCCGTCCCAGCTCCGCCCTGGGTCCCACGGAGCCAGCTGCTCCCCCTCCTCCTCCTCCTCCTCCTCCTCTTCCTCCTCCTCCTCCTCGGTCACTGGCGCCGGGGAGGGAGGGGGCCATGGGAGCCTCACAGCCGGAGGGAGAAGAGGGGGTGGCCACACTGATGGAGCCTCCACCGGTCCCAGCACGTCAACCGTCAGAATCGTGTTAAAACCCACTTCTGATAACGACCCTCTCGGGCCACCTATCTTGCTCAGAGTAAAAACCAGGTCGACCTTGCAGCCCAGCAGGCCCCCACCACGGCCCCCCGTGTGCTTCCCGACCTCATTCACGCAGCCCTCCTCTGCACCGCCGTTCCCTTCTGGAAAGTTCTTCCCTAGACCTGCACAACTTCCCACCTTCACGTCCCCGCCCCGGGGCCTTTGCACAAAGACCCCCTCATCAGAACAGCCTCCGCAATGGACGGCTCCCTCTAAAACGGTTGAGGACGACCCCTTTCGTTCCCACAACCCGCTGGAGCTCCTGGGTGTAAATTGGAGGTCAGGACAGGGTCAGGTAGAAAACTAGCAGGGCAGCCGAGAAGCCAGGAACAGCAGTGTCCGCGGCTGAGACGAAGTCCCTCTGCTGTCTCGGGCAAGCCCCCGAATCTGGCTGGACACTGGCCGCCCTGATCAGACCCACCCTGATTCCCACCGTCAGAAGCACCACAGACACCAGGGGACATAACATGGCACAGATTCGTCCTCTCCCAGCTCTGGGGGGCCAGACGCTGGAAATCCAGGTGTCTCAGGGCCGTGCTCCCCCCAGAGGCTCCAGGGAGGGTCCCTCCTGCCTTTCAGCTTCTGGGGGCTCCAGGCGACCTGGACTTGCAGCCGCGTCCCCCCAGCCTGCGCCTCCATCGTCACAAGGCCGTCTCCTCCCTCTGTCCCTTCTCCCCGTGTCTCTAAAGGGGACATTTGTCCCTGGGTTTGGGGCCACGCGGACACTCCAGGACAATGTCGTCTCAAGACCCCTAATCACGCCTGCAAAGGCCCTTTTCCAAGAATCGTGCTCACAGGTTTGGGGACTGGGATGTGGATGCATTGTTTTGGGGGCCCCCAGTCCGCCCACGACACCGTCTGAAGCCGGGACCCCAACAATGGGCTGCCAGCAGGCCCTTCGTGATGGCCAGGCCGGGTCTGGGGAGCCCCCGGCATTCACGGTTAGACGGCGCCCCGAGTCCCAGAGGAGCCGACCACCCCCCCCACCCCCGCCCGCCAGCTGCCACCTCATCAATGATTCAGGGCGAGCCGAGCCGCCCGCTCACCTTGCCATTGTCTGAGAAGTTTGAAAGCGATACTGTCCCCCTGTCCCCGGAGGAGCGAGGGGGGCGTGCGGGGTGGCCTGGTGCGGGTCCTGCTGCTGGGCCTCGTTCCTCTTCTCGGATCTGATGGCAATGGAGGATGGTGCCTCAGTTTACCCCTCTCCCTCACCACCCCCCCGCCGTCTCCCTGTGGGCCCCCCCACGTTTCAGCGTTTCAGTTGGAGATGCCTGAATAGTTTTGGAATAATTTATTCTCCTGTTTGTTAACTCGTTGCCCTGATTACAAAAGCGATGGGGGTGTGGGCCTGAGCGAGTCGCTCCACACCCCCCTCCCCGCCTCTGACCCGTTTTCCAGATTTCTGTTGGACTGAGCTGGGGGCGGCGGATGGAGAAGGCCGTCCCCTCCCCGGGCTGCGTGGCCCCGGGCCTCCTGGGACTCAGGGCCGAACCGAATGGCCTGAGAATATTCGAGTCAGAACTGCCTCCCGCCCGCTGTGGCCGCCTGCTGTGGCCGGCTGACCCCCCAGCCCCCAGGGCGACCCCGTCCCTGCCAGATGGGGGGGGGAGGTCCCCAGGGTCCAGCCCCCGAATTGTCCTGTCACCTCTCAAGGGTCCTCTCGCCCCAGACGCCCATCCCCGCTCAGCTCCCCTCCCCAGGCCCTGGGGCAGCACGTGGTCTTATCTGTCCAGACCCTGGCAGGAGCCCACCCTGCTCTCGAGGTCCCCCCCAGGGCCACCCCACCCCCAGCCCAGGCAGATCCCCCATCCTGCCCGCAGTGTGGGAGCTGGGCCCCTCCCTCCACGCCTTCCTGTTTAACCCTTTCATTCTGAGTAGGAAATACTATCATTTCCTTTTCCAAGACCAGAGAGGTTGAGTGAGCGTTCTGGCCCCAGCTTGACCCAGCGGCTCTGCCTCTGTGGGTGT